TTTTAAGCTCTCCAACTTTTTGCGCAGGAACTTGATTCGGTTCCCGAAACGTCGGACGTGTTCGCCACCCCACTTCCCAAGTCTTACACCACAAATATGTATACGCTCCTGAAAATTTAGACCCGTAGAAAGATGCCAAGCTTCCTCGACAACTCTTGTACACCCCTCGTCAAGTAGCCACGCCGATTCAAATTTAAAGGCCCGTCTTGCTGCACGCACCGCTCTGGGTTCCACATCTATAAAGATGGCACTGTGATCAGACGATAAGGCTTGTACCTGGTGCACCGTGACATCTTCGTTCATCTCAATCCATTCTGTAGTTGCCACCGCACGATCTAGACGTTCTTCCACCCAATCCTCTGTTCCGTGACTCTTCTCCCACGTGAACTTCCCACCCGACATCCCTAGATCAAGAAGATGGCAATCGCTGAGTGCATCATTAAAGCCTTCAATGAGGTACTCCGGATGCGGATGAACACCCCTTTTCTCGGACATGGAAGCGATGTCATTAAAATCGCCGACGACGATCCACGGGAGGGCCGATCTGTCCCTAAGCAGTCGTAGCAGATCCCACGTGATGTGCCGCTGCGATCTATCAAAGTTCCCATAGAAACCGGTAAGCCTCGAGGGAGGTTTGTCTGGTAGTGTGATCATCATGTCGATGTGGTTATCTGAATAGCTTAATAGAGTTGCCATATCCGCATCCCTCCAAAACAAAGCAAGTCCCCCCCCCCTCCCCCCCCCCCCCCCCCCATCCCTACTCGTTCCACACAAATAACACTCTCGAACCCCAATTTCAACCGTACTTCTTCCACCTTACTCACAAGTGCTTTTGTTTCCATTAGGAAGACGAAAGTGGGTCGCCATTTGGACGTCATGCCCAATAATTCTCGAACTGACCGGGTGCCACCCAATCCCCGGCAGTTCCAGCTAAGGATACTCATTTGGCCTGGCGAGCCTGGCCATCCAGACCCGCCGAACTCAAAGTTTTTATGTTTTCTGCCATCAACACGTCCGCCCCACTCCCCAAACCTGGTGAGTTCTCATCTTCCCTTCGCCTCTTCAGATCGCCGTGCATTCCTACTGCCTCCTCCATCGACACCAGTGTTAGTGGCGATAAATTGTCCGTGGTGGAATCAGTCGACACTGGGGATTGCGTGGTAGAGGATAACAGCCATTTAGCTCCCACTGGTTTTACCTGGCGTCTCGGACCTGCACGCAACCAGCTTCCGTAGGGGTAAACCTCTGGCGAAATTCCCTCTTCGTAAGCCTTCTTGCAGTACTTTTCAGAATGGCCGATGACCCCGCAGCAAAAGCAGAAGGTGCTCAACCGCTCGTAACGGAAATTAATCCACTGAGATGTGCCGTCTTTGCGGATTAGTCTCATTCGGCGTTTCAATGGAGTCTCGATCGATAGCCTCACCCGAACACGGCTGTAACTCCTCCAGGCACCGCCGAAATTCATCGGATCCAGCGATATGAAAGTACCCACGTAGTTACCAATGCGTGTTATAAAATCATGGGTAGCATATGTCGTCGGAAGCCCATGGATTTGTATCTAGATGTCGACTGACGAGAGCTGAACTTCCTCTGGGCGGATGTCGGGTGGCACTTGGGCGCATATGAACATGTTGTTTTCGAATGACCAGGGGCCATCGTCCATAATCCGCTGTAGATCCTTGTGGTGCGGGAATTGAAACATGAAGAGATCGTCTGCAAGAGCCGTCGAATGCATGCCCATCACCGGTCTCCATATTGAGGCCAAGGTATGCTGCATGTGATCGAAGCGGATCGGCCGATCGGTGAGAAATCTTCCAACAAGCGAAAACAGAGGCACTGCATGGGAAGCTGATCGGATCTCCGGAGCCTCCAACCCTCCGGTGTCTTCCTCAGCCAACGACAGTGCAGCGCATTGATCCTCGATGCGATGAATTTCCATGGTGATCGCGTGTGGGTGGATCAGAGATAGAGTTGCGATGAGATATGAGTGAATCAAGAAACAGAGAGCCATCAGAACTATATATACCCTAGAACTCTAGGGAGATACTCTCATAGGTATGGCCTAGAGAGGAAGCCACGATTAGGAGAAACGTGATTGAAATCGTGAGATTCAGACCGCCACGTCCAACGTCGCACAATCTATATCTATATATAATTAAAAGTAAAATCCTCCTAACCAAGTTTATCTCCAAAAAAAAAAAGCCGTTGTATGTGTTTAATTACTCTCTCTGTCCAAAAAAATGTTATCATTTTTATTGGTGCATTGCTTAAGAATATTAGTGCATAGTCTAAACAATTTTATAAAAGTATATTAGTGCATTGACTAAACAATATTCTAGAATATATTTTTTTCCAGCTAACACATGTGGTAGATAAATTACTCATTTACTCCTTAATGTCAATAAAATCTAATACGCAAAAAAAAAAAAAATTAAAAAATTAAAATTAAAAAAAAATTAAAAAGAAATAAAAAATTAAAAAATTAAAAAGTTGGGCAATTGAAGACGGAAGTTGGATGTGGAAAGATGAAAAAATTGGACTTGCACATGATGCATCCACTGGCCTGGGGAATAAATTAGAAAATGATTTGTGTACTTATCAAATTGAATAAAAAATATTGTTGGTTTTAATTAATATACATAGTGTTCCAACAGTACACCACATACTATACCTACTTGAGTAGTTGTAATCTTAAATACTTTTCCGATCAGTCGGTTGCACCAATCTTTTTGAGTCGATCCAAAAATCATGAATGCGAATCCAAACATTATATTTAGTGAAAATGGTTAAAAGGCCCTCGAATTTTAGCTTAAAAATTAATTAGGTCCTTAAACTTTTTAAAAGTGCAATTACACCCATCAATAATTCATTTAGGTGTAATGAAGCCCACAAACAAGTTAATGACCTGCTATCACAGGTCATTAGGGTTCAGGCCACCTTCCGGCGATTTTTTCGGCAAAAAAAAAAAAAAAAGTAACCAGCAACTAACCCAGATTTGTCAAAAATTTCGCCGATCACTTTTTTTTGCCGGAAATTTCGCCGGTCACCTTTTTTTTTTTTTTTTTTTTTTTTTTGCCGAGAAATTCGCCGAAAGGTGACCTGAATCCTAATGACCTGTGATAGCAGGTCATTAATTTATTTTTGGGCTTCATTGCACTTAAATGAATTGTTGATGGGCGTAATTGCACCTTTAAAAAGTTTAGGGGCCTAATTGACTTTTAAGTTAAATTTCGAGGGTCTATTTGACCCTTTTCCCTTATATTTATTATAAACGTTACATCAAATGATATGATATAAAATATAATAAAAGAAATTGGATAGAAATATATTTTTCAACCCTTTAACTATCAAACAAACGGTTGTCACAGGTGTGGAGTTGAGGACTTCTAAATTGGGTTAGGGTTTCGGTTGAGATCCTTGTGTGCAAAGTATAGAGTTGGGTGTGGGTATCAATTAACGCTGTACAGACTCAGTTTATCTCCTTATACTAGGACCGATCAATTTATTCTCATGTTCTCACCTAAGCAAGTGTTCTCATTGCAACCCTATATATATATATATATATATATATATATATATATGAACAATAAAAAAGGACCAACAATAGTATATAAAAATACTGCCAGCAATAAACATGTACTCATTTTTACCAGTAAATTGACGTTTAACCTTAAAACTAAATATAAGTAGATATATGTTTATAAATTAACAATTCTTCATTACGAATAAAGAGAATCGGTATATATGAATATTCAGTTGAGGCCGGGAATTTGAGAAAACTCTATATGAAATGATTAATATGTCTTTCAATAATTTGAAAATTTGAAGTGCAATGTTAATGTTAATGGACCTTGTTAGTAACGGATTAAAATTGTCACTTTACACATAATTAAAAGGAAAAATATGTATATGATAATAATTCATAAACTGAGTCTACAATATAAGTATAATTTATGGACTAATACCACCATTTTTTCTTAGGAAAATTGTAATTTATGTCCCTTCATAATATCTCAATTATCAATGTCACTCCTGAATTATTAATGGTGTAAATATTGCCCCTCAATTTTCAAAACGGTACATGATTGCCCCTCCCGTACCGTACGGGATGGGCAATATATGTACCGTTTTGAAAAATGAGGGACAACATTTACACTACGAGAGGACACTATAGGTACCTTTTTTAAAATTGAGGGGCATCATTTACACCACTAATAATTCAAGAATGACATTGATAATTGACATATTATGAAAAGACATAAATTACAATTTTTCCTTTTTCCTTATTATTATTATAATGAACTTGATCTATATATTATTATGCAATATGAACCATGATACATGATATAATTTATTTATACAGAAGATACCAAAGAGATTATGATTTACAGTCAAATGGATAGAGACTACAACTCATTGGGCTTGCATAATAAATGAGACAGATATCATTGGACCTGGTTCACAAGATAACTAATGTCATTTTTATACAGTCTACCTATTTGAAATATTTAATCATCATATCATTCTAAGATCTGTATGTGGTTCATAGTTACTTTACCATTCATCTTAATCTTTATAGATTTTTCTACTGTTATGCTATCTTTTTGTACATAATTAATACTAACCCAAAGTTGAAAAAAGTCCAAGTCATTCGGTCTCCAAATTCCAGTTAAAGGACCACCTTGAGGAAATGTTACAGAGTGTTCGGTTGAATATAATGAGAGAAATGAATTGTAATCCCATAAAAAAAGAATAAAATGAGAATTCAAATTACATTGTTTGGTAAGCATGAATAAAATGATTAAGAATTGTGCAAGGGAAAAAGTGAATACATACTATAATACTCTTGTATAATAATAATAATAATAATAATAGCAAAATAATAATTCAAATTAAAATTACAATCCGTGATTGGAAGGAATTATAATTTCTTCCGACCAAACCATAAAATTGTTTATTTCATGAAAACATACATAAGATTTAAGAAAATGATTTTGTAGTTTTTTTGGGGGACCACATTCCTCAAATTTTATTAGGATGACCAGCTCTATATACGAGCTTGGCGGAGTTACCAATGAATTACAAAATATTCTTAATCATAATAGGTGAATTTGGGAGAAGAAGCACATAAGGTATTCATTGACGGACTCGTATAAGTTCCATCTAGTAAAGTCATGGTAACCAATCTATTTGCTTTTTCTGTCATGTGATTTCCGTCCCAATCAATATAATGCCATGGATCAGGACAACTATTTTTTAATTTTATATTACCACATTTTACGTCGTCATTGTATCTATACGCCCCTCCTGCTCCACAACAAGCCTCAAGGGAGTGCAAGAATCCTGCACAAACATTAACCTATTAGTATCTAAAAGACCAACCATCATATGTTTTTTACAAATATAAATTTTATCATGGTACCATATTTCCCAGGATTACGATAAAGTTTCATGACAGCATTGTAAAAATCAGCATAGATAATGACAACGTCAGGATTAAGACGACGGATGATGTGGAGTCGTTTCTGAAGACGTTGATTGTGGAACTCGTTCAATTCATTTAACCAAGAAAGGCAACCAGTATCAGGATCATAATCTGAAGTGTTGGCACTTCCAAAATCTGTGAGAATGACGGGAAGACAACCATCTGGAGATAAGCTAGGTACCATGATTGTCGTTGCACCAAGTTTAATCAAATCCTGCATTTTTATTAAATGGCTTAATTATTAGAGTATTATTTATCATTACACAATATAGTTGCATCCCAACATCAAATAATAATTAAATGCTCAATATAGTAATACCAAGTGTAAGTTGAAAATTAATAAGTTATTTAGTAGCATTTAATTCGAAAAAATATATGCATTAATTTGCTACTAAATATCTGAATTTTTGTTTTTTTAGTACTACTGATTAATTCTGCTACAATGTAATATTTGTCCATAGTTACTTTTATTAATAATATATGATTGTGATAGTAAAAATAAAAGACATGCTTATAATAAAATGGAAAATGACTGTTATAGTCTATTAGTTAACCCTAAATTGTAAACTCTATTCATAAATTATTATTCTATACAACTTTTTTCCTTTAATTATGTTGAAAATGGTTGTTTCAATTCATTATTTAATAATTTTGTTAACATTAAAATTTTATTTTAATTTGTCAAATTATTAGAGGACAAATTTGTCATTTTGTATAATTTTTCCAAGTAAAAAAAAAAAAAAGAAAAGAAAAAAAAAAGCTTTCATATTGATGATATCAAGTGAATGTTGGGTTTTTTGTAATATTGATTATATGAGAATATCTTAGTCTATAATTTAGGCATTATTAATGGAGTAAAACAACCAATTTTCTTTTTTCTTTTTAAAACAAATTTCAAGAAAACGAATTCCTTAGCCTCTTTATATATTTTTATTTTTCACTACATCGAGAAAATATATAATATGAATTTCTATATTACACTCTCATGTCTTTATTATGTAAGAGCAATTGAGTCTTAATATTAATTATTTTCAACAATTTATTTTTCAGTCATAAATAATATAATCAATAATTCAAGTAATTTTTTTTCATAAAATTTAAATTCAATTCATCATTATTTCTTTTAAGTAAACTAAATTAGCTGTTAAATTGTTTATCAGAAATATAGTTCTCAAATTTTTTATCGCATTGCGATTTTAATCGTTATATTATAGACAAATAAAAAAAAAAATTGTTTTCAAAAAAAAATCTTTTTAATTATTCTTTATGAGAAGATCAAAATCGGAACATGATTAAAAATTCAAAACTTATTTATGGCTGCATTAACAGTTAAAAACTAAATTTATTATTTAATAATAAAGAAAAATTATCTCATATTCTCGTGTAATCAACATTATAACAAATTTAACATTCACTTGAAATCATCAATGTGAAAAGCTTTTTTTATATACTTTAGAAAAATTATATGAAATGACCAATTTGTCCTCTAATAATTTGGCAAATTAAAATAGATTTTTAATGCTAATAAAATTTATTAGTAATGGATTAAAACAATCACTTTCAACATAATTAAAGTGAAAAAAAGTTGGCATTCAAAAAAAAAAAAGTGAAAAAAAGTTGTATATAACAATAATTTACGAACCGAATCTACAATTTAGACATAATTAATGGACTAAAATAGCTTTCCATAATAAAATTTGAATCAAATAAAGTCTTACATTTATTGCTGCTGTGATGGTATCAATAACCATAGGAATGTATGTTCTTATCTCTTCGATGTCTTTTTCAAAGGTAAGTGCATGGCGATAGTCATTACTTCCAAAAGGCCCCACTACAAAGAGGGAGTTTTTAAATTTTTTCCTACATTCTGCAACACAAACACAATTATGGTGTAAAAAAAAAATTAAAAAAAAAAACTGTATGTATATTGAGAATGGAAGAAATGTATTGTGTGTATAAGTTCCAGCATGTTGAGCATATAGCTATTAATGTGCAATCCAACTATCAGCTTAGCTTTTTAGTTGAGATGGAGCACATGCTTCAATTTGGTATCACCAAAGATCCACCTGTTGCTTGGAACTCACCGCACATATGAGGAGCATATTGAGCATATAACCGTGCAATCCAACTATCAGCTTAGGCTTTTAGTTAAGATAGAGCACCTGTTTCAATTCAGCATACCTGAGGGTGTGTCACAGAACAATGGCAAAACATCTTTGAACCATATCATTTGGACGTTGAGGGAGGCGTTTGTAAAGGGATTAATTATTCCTCTTGATTCATAGAACGCCGAGTCCACCGCAGCAGCTCCGCCAACCGCGAAATTCACACCTCCTTCAATACTTGACCCGTTTCCGGCAACACTAGCTGATGGAGGCATAAACGCCACTCCATAATGCTCCGCTGCAACATCACAAACCTGTTAGTACTATCTGTTCAACCCTAATATCAATCCTGATTGGGATGAGACTGGAATCTGAAAATTTTGTTATGAATATTGAATAATAACAATAATGTAATCAGACCACAGCCACACATATATATAAGTAAATACCTATAAAATCAATTATGATACGACCATCGCAAAAGCGACCGTTGGGATAATGAAAGAAGGTTTCTCCATAAGGAGGATTGGCCACGTTCAGGTTGGAAAGGTCATGGGAGAAGAAAATCCTATTGCCCGCATCTGTAAGAGAGTCACCAAATGCAAAGATGGATGTGTAGCATGCTAAGGTTTTGCTTCTTGGAATTATGAATATTAGGAGGAATATAGTGGAAATGAATTTCAACGCCATCTGGGAATAGAAGTAAATGTATGATAATACTATACCTACTTATGTGTCTAGGCGAATTTATATATAGGAATTTCTCGGCCTGGTGCGATGCATGGGTGGCCTGGTTAGTTGGTGGTCAATAATGTGCCACATAACAACTTCACAAAAAAAAAAAAAAAAACATCACATCTTAATAGTGACCTCCACGTGGTACTGTCAAGCATTTTGAAAAATTCAATCGTCAAGCCTTCAAAAACAGGCAAATTATACCGTGCACTAAGGATTGTGGGTCCTGACCTAAAACGACGTTGTTTTGTATATTTTTTGTGTGTATGCTGTTAACTCCTTAAAATAAAAAAAAAATTATATTTTGAATATACAAAATTGTATAATAGAATACACAGAATTGTATAACTAAATACACATAATCTTTTTTAAAAGGATAATACACATAATCTAACATAATACATAATATACATAAACTCTTAACATAATACACATAAACACTTAACTCTTTAAAATAAATCATGTTTCGAATGTACAGAATTATATAATAGAATGTACAGAATTTTATACCTGAAAACACATAATTTTATACCTTAAAACACAGGGTTTTATACTTGAAAATTCCCATGTTTTGAATGTACAGAATTATATAATAGAATGCAAAAAATTTTATACCTAAAATTAACAAAACGACGTCATTTTGATAGGTGCGTCCTGATGCACGGTATAACGATTGTCCAAAATACACCGTCAAATTTTCAAATACATCGTAAAACATTTTCAAAATAATAAATTACTTACACATAATAATAATAATAATAATAATAATAATAATAATAATAATAATAATAATAATAATATTTTGTACAGTGGCATTTATGTATTTTACACATATATTTCATTTCTATTCCTTAACCAACCAAGCGTTGAAATACAATTCCTAAAGCCTATTCAGCTTCAGCTTCAGCGAACCAAACAACCGAATACAATTCATATTTATTCCTTACATATTCCATTCTCTATAGAATAACATTCCTATTCAATCTAAATTGATTCCGTGAATCAAACGGGCCATAAAAGAAATGACACCGTTTTGGACCATAAAATTTGTCTCAATGTGCATCTTTGGCTAATGACAGTTAGTTTTTCATTTTTTTTTAAAGAACAATTATTTCATAAATATTTTGGCTTCATTAATTTTGTAGAGGTTTTGGGTTAACTCACATCACTCTGAGATATCAAATGTAGCCCTTAACAAGTTAACAGTAGCAAGTCTGGAAATCCCTCAAATCGGCGGATCACTTGGGCTAATGAAACAGATTGGGAAAAACACCTCACGACGGATTCAACTATTCAAGCCCAAACGTGCATGGAATTAAATGAAAATTGCTATAATATGAAATAAGGCATCCCTCCTCTTTTTTTCTCTTATTCTTTGTTTAATTGGAAAAAGTTTAGCTTACATCTAATTAACTAAAAGTAAATAACTAATTTACCAAACACTTTTTACAACAAACTAATATTGTCAGTTGATAAAATCAGCTAACCCAATCAATTATAGCTACCAATTCAACTACCAACTATCATCTAACTTACTCAGCTATTAGCTATCAATCATTTACCAAATACTTCAAAATATTTTTTCAACTAATAAAAATGTTTTGACAATTCAACATTCTTTTATTTAGTGAGTCATTTAATTGAATAATATCAATAATCAATAATAAATTCTAAAGAGGTAAAAATATGCAAGGAAATAAACATTTTCCTATGAAATAATATAATGTTTTATTTATTATCATAAATAAAAAGAAAAATGTTCAAATATGTCATTAAATTCAATTAAAAGAAGGGAAAATGACACTTTTCCCCTCTGAGTTATATACTTATAGCACTTTTTTCCCCTGAATTATTTAAGTGGCTCTTTTCCCCCCTGAAATGTTAAATGGACATATTTACCCTTAAAATAAATATTTAAAATAAATATTTTATTTATTTTTCTTCTCCAACAAATTATTACTATAATTTGGTTCAAACCAAACAGATACTATAGCAACCAAACCAAAATATTCCAATTACAATTTATAATCAAAACGCGATATTTAGAGTTTATTAAAATCGCAAACCGGAATGGCCGATTCATGTTCCGAACTGAAAAAATAAAATACATTTATTGTTGAATTTATACTATTTTAAAATAAAAAATAAAATTTTAAAATAAAAACGGTTCAAAATCGCGAACCGGATCCGGAACCGCCGGTTCACGGTTCATTATCTAGTTTTTTTTTTTATTCTTAAATTTAATAAATTGAAATCCAAATATTGGGTTCTAGATCTGAATTATAACCGAAAATTTTTAATTCGATTGCTATAGTGTCTGGTTCAGTTCGAACCGAACCATGGTAATCGCTACATATACGCAATAATTTGTTGGAGAAGTAAAATAAATAAAATGTTTACTTTAAGTGTAGAAATGTCAATTTAATATATTAGGGGAAAAACCACCACTTTTAAAATAATTGAGGGGACTAATGTGCTTACATATATAATTGAGAGGAAAAAAGTACTATAAATATATAACTTAGGGGAAAAAGTGTCATTTTCCCTTAAAAGAACTTGCAATTGACTCTGTGGACCAACTAAAATCATGCAATAAAATATCAAGTAGCCTCTCTTATGGTGTAAAGGTAACCTTGCTCAGAGCATCATCATCATGGCCGTTCCTAAGAAAATTGGGGTCCTGTACGAAAATTAACATTGGCCCCCTTTTTGTATAATTGTAAATATATAAAAGATATGTTGTATTGTACCAAAATATATATTAGTCTATAAAAAATTTATTATTCAAAATTTCACTTGAAAAGTGACATTCTTCTTCTTCTTCGGTCATAATTAGATGTAAAATTATTCACCAATCCATTGAGTCTTTTTTACAATATCGTTGATCATAAGTAAGATTTCAACAACTTTAACTTTAAAAAACTTCTTTATGCATAAACAACAGTAATGAAAATAGTCAAGACTAATTGATATTGCAATTGTAGTATCAAAATACAAGAAATTAGATTGTTATTCACCAATCAAAAAAATTCCTATCTAGCCAGGGTTAGTCATTGAATTAATAATTTTAAAATTTTGAATAAAATTAAAGAATTAAAATATTTAATTATTTACATACCTTCATCCTTTTATCGTGAAGAACAAAAAAAATTGAGGATGCCAAATGCACAAACAACGCACTTCAAATTAATGATTACTGAGACCGAATTCTTGCATTGTGAATACAAATCTTGCGTGTATGCATTATAATAGGAATAAGAGTAATTTTTTACTCTTTATATATAATAATTTTTACAATAATCAAATAGGTCCGCCTCAGTTCCTATAAGTTATAGGACTATAATTCTATACGTAAATCAAGTCCTTAAGAATTAGGAATATAAATTTTTTAGAATTTTAGACCGTCTTGATTTTTTTATACATAAATTACACATACATTAATATATAAAATATAAATATAAAATAATAATTTTTTTTTAATAAAAGTGCCCCCAAAATTTGGGGGCACAATGCACATATATACTTACGTATGTAATGTAATATTTGGGGCCCCCAAACTGGCCCTGGCCAAACATGGCCCGGGACGGCCCTGAATTCATCATCATCATTATCATTCATCATTATCATCATTATCATCATCATCATGCAATGGTGGACAGTGGACCGTGGATGTTGTGCAAGTTATTCTCAGGATTATAGTTCCCGTTGTTGGACACTTAGTTGACTATAACAACAAATTTTTAAGTTTGATTCCTTACATGAATTTTTTATTAAGTTTCTTGGTTTGAATGAGTTAATTATTGATAATTTATATTGATTTTTTTTTTGGGTTTTTGTTGATTATAATCACAATACAGGTTTTATTGAGAGTGTGGTGAACTTTCATGTAAATGGATAGGGAGTAGGGAGGCAAATTATGTTATGGAAACATGTTTATCATGCGCATGGTAAACATAGGGGTAAATTCATAATTTCTATGTTATAGAAATTATGGATTTACAACATAGAAATTATAGATCTACAATACGTATAGAAATTATGAATTATAGTATAGATGTTATGAATTTACAGCATAAAAATTATGGATCTACAACATAGAAATTATGGATTTATCATGTGTTTATCATGTTCATGGTGAACACGTTTCCACAGCATAACTATTGAGTAGGGAGGGTGGGGGACGGGGGTTAGGGTTAATTTGGTCAACATCAGTGTCCCGCTACAATTGTTGAACACGTTCCGTGTTTATCTGTATATGTATATGTATACAATAATATCTTGTTTGTATCGTAATCATGGAAGCAGCCAGGAAGCTCGTGTTCTCCGTCACATAATAAAAATAAAAAATAAACAAACATAAATCTCGGCGGTGACTTCCAGTATCAAAATTCATATTCCCCTACGCTACGCCTTCTCAATCTTCTCTACCCAATACCCATCCAGGAAACAAGAAGAAAAAGAAGAAGAAGAAGAAGATCGAAGAAAAAGAATCATCATATTCATATATATCATGGGTTGCTGTGGAGATGACGACTGCGAGTGTCACCCTTTGGGGTTTCTGTTGGGGCTCCCCTTCGCCTTCGTCTCCCTCCTCCTCTCCCTCGTCGGCGTCGTCATCTGGATCGTCGGGTAATATAATTAAGCCGCCGCCGGCCGGCCATAACTACTTATTTTTACTATACACTACTGCACGTAGTTTTAATTTGATTCAATTCATCGGAGAAGATTTGATTATTTGATATATATAATGATATTGGTTTGGATGGGTATATATATATATATATATATATATATATATATATGCAGGATAGTGCTAAGTTGCATATGTCCGTGTTGTATATGCGTTACGGTGATAGTGGAGATGGCTTTAGGACTGATCAAAGCTCCATTTTCTGTCATCAAGTGGTTCACTCAGCAGATACCTTGTTGATCGAAATCCATTTCTTTATTTTATTTAATTTCATTCTCTTTTTTTCCTATTTATTTCTTCTTCTCCTTGTGGATCTATCCAACTTACAATATTTAATTTATTTTATTTTTATCTGTTGTAATTTTTTCCCCCACTAATTACCATATCATATGTACAATAATATACCCATTGATTTATATATGAGTAGTTTTTAAATTTCATGCTTTAATTTAATTTCTTGGTTTTATCCTTCCTTATAAGAGCATCTCCACTAATGATTTTTTGTGGGAGTTTTTGAAAAAAACAAAGATGAAGTGGAAGAGAGAAGGTGAGGAGAGGGAATAAGTTGAGTCTTGACTGAATGAGTTTTTAGATTGACAAGTGAAGCCCGCATCGAGAGAGAGAGAGGCGCACCTTAACACGGGACAGGCGTACCTTGCACGCTAGTGGACGCCCCTGGGTGCATAATAGCTGCTGTTTTTTTTTTTTGGGTCAGATTTTTTTTTTCTTTTTCTCTTCTCTCTATTTTATCTTTTATAATCACACCTGCAAAACTCTTCAAAAACTTAATTCCCTTGGGAAATGACAAAATGTCAAGATAAAATATATAAAATATTAAATATATGTTTATAAATATCAAGGAAAGTTAAATTTTAATATAATACCCTCACGGCTTCACCACATGCCACATGGGACAGCATGGCAGCGTTTTGAGGAATATGATGGCGTTTGTTCTGTAATTGAAATTCCTCTGTTCCATTGGAATGAGTAAATAAAATCTAAAATAAAAATTATATATTTAATTTTTTGGAAAAAGATTCAAATTGGCATATTAAGTAGACTGAATAGTACAATTGGATTCTATAACTAAAAAAGCTTTATTCAGATTTCTTAAACTTGTAAAATTATTCAATTAAGTCCAAAATGACTTGTTTAGCATTTTAAGTCTTCACCTGCTAAACAAGTCACTTTGAATTTAATTAAACAATTTTACCGGTTTAAGGAATCTGAATGAAACATTTTTAGTTGGAGGACTCAATTGCACTATTCAGTCGACTTAGGGGGTCAATTTAACCCTTTTTCCCCTTTTTTTCTAGAGATGATGAAATTCTCCCTTACTAAAAGATCTTGTGTACGAGTTCTCTTGAACTATTATGAACGCCAATCATGCTCCTTACAAGAAACATTTTGTTTATCAAATTGCCGGGCAGAATTTGAAACTTGAAAGTAATCCTCCCGTATTCTGATGAATTTTTTTTTTTTTTTTCAAAGGTCTAGCCTATGTGGTTCACGTTCAGTTGAGTTACCATGATTTACATCCTCCCAAATGCTCTGTTAGAGTTGGGGTTCAGCCTTTTGAAAGAATGAATTCTTTTTTTTTTTTTTTTCAAATACTATTGACTCTATTATAATAGGAGTCACAGAGGTCAGAAGTGTCATCGAGCACAAAGTGTTTGACTTTGATTATATTAAAAAAATTAATTAAAAATGACATTTAAAATACTTCACTTATCTCATTTTATTTGTCATATTTACTATTCATTGGTCAAACTAAATATTTCTTCATTTGCTTACTTTCTTTAGTATTTTTAATTAGTTTTAAATTTGATTTGTTGTGTTCAATAGATTTTATACACAAATATTAAACTTAACATTATGAAAAATTAAATTAAAAATTATTTCAGTCAGGTTCCGTTAATCAAACAAAAAATGGGGCGAAAGAAGTAGTCAGTAATCTTTTTGAGGCAATATTTTGAGTACAATCCACTTCCAATTTGAGTAATGTCAACATGGATTTGAATTCTTTTAAATGAAAGGGTTAACTTGATATATTACACACTCTTCTAAGTGAAAAATTCAACTTGATATATTATATATTCAACACGAATAATAAATGAATGAGAAATTAATTTTTAAAATATATCAAGTTGAAAAAGTTCTTAAATTTTGTAACATAAACATTTTAAGACGGTCTCCAACTACCATGAACTTTATAGCAGTTGATGTGTGAAGCGTGCACCAATAAATTTTTTTTTTTTAGTTGAACCCACAAAAAAAAAAAAAAAAAAAACAATATTTACTGCAAAATAAAAATCTCTCTCCTCTGATCTCTTGTTTCCCCTCCAACTCATCCTAAAACTCTTTCACTTAGACCAAAAAAAAAAAAAAAAAAAAACACTGATGACTGATGAGGAGACCCTTAGGCGTCAAATTACATCTTAAATTCTTCAGTATATAATAGCCGATGAAAAAAAAAAAAACACTAATGATGTCATTGCTTGGGTCACCTCTTGGAAGAAATCAAATTGTCACAATACAACACCAGTTTTGGGTTTTATTTATTTATTTATTTATTTCCAACAATAATTCCCTGTTTAACTCACCCAGGGTCCTTTAAAAAAAAAAAAAAAAAAACTCACCCAGGGTCAACCTTGGCTGGGAAACTACTATTGCATTATTATTATTATTATTATTATTATTATTATTATTATTATTATTATTATTATTATTTTTAATTTCTTGACAGTCATTATGTTTTTCCAGTGTCTAAATTTGAGATTTTTAAATTAATTGTGAATAATGCTTCTTTTTTTTTTCTTTTTTTATTTAAGGCATGTGATGGACAATTTTAGCCCAGCAATAGGTTAAAATACAAAATTTTAATGTTAAAACATGATACAAATAAATGAAATAATCTCTAAAATAATAGTTTAGTGATTAAAAAGTTACATCTTAAATTCGCTTTCGGCAATAAGGTGGAAGTTTGAGGTCGAACCTGACCCCCTGTGGCCTAGGGGCGGTTCCAAGTTTGCCTATATGGAAAGCAACAAAGTTTTTAATCCACAAAAAGTACAAAACCATTGCTATACAAAACCAAGACTGACATCTGGTTTCATCAAAAGAGTCCAATATAAAGCAATTCTTAAACGTTTTTAATAATGATAAATTGACTAGTTGTTACAAGTGCAGCCATCGGATGGGTCACACTTTCAATTTTAGAATATTAATAGGCTAAAGCTTATTCGAACTGAAGCATATGTTCCATGTCAACTAAAAACCTAAGTTGATATTTGGATTGTACATTAATGGCTATATGCTCAACAGGCCTCTTCATGTGTGCGATGAAGCATGTTCTCTATCTCAACTAAAAGTCTAAGTTGTTAGTTGGATTACACATTAATGGTTATATGCTCAACAATTCGACTAATATTTTCATCAATTTGATTGACTGAATTAACCTTATCATAAGTTTGGAGCAAATTCATGGGATTTAAGATATAGTCTGAAAAATTTAGATTGTCAACCAAAAAACAAAGGTTATATCACAGATTCACAGACACAGAGTTGTCGTATTCCAGGTACCTAGTTCTAGTTCTTTGTTGCCAGCCAATCCGCCACTGCCCACAGTCTTCAAAACCTGGAACCAGTACAGTATAAAAAGAGCAGAACCCCCCGATTTGGAAGCATAATCAAACTCATTAATTCTGTTGATTGGAATTAAGATATGGAAAAATCAAACGGTTCAATAATCCAGCAGAGCTGCGCGAACGGAACGCTGGGGAGGCACTTGGCTAAGCGGCTGGTCCAGATTGGCGTGAGGGATGTGTTCTCCGTCCCCGGGGACTTCAACTTGACGCTGCTGGATCACCTGATCGCCGAGCCGGAGCTGAACCTGATCGGCTGCTGTAACGAGCTCAACGCCGGCTACGCCGCGGACGGCTACGCTCGCGCCAACGGGGTGGGCGCCTGTGTGGTCACCTTCACGGTGGGCGGGCTGAGCGTGCTCAACGCCATCGCCGGCGCCTACAGTGAGAATCTGCCGGTGATCTGCATCGTCGGCGGCCCCAATTCCAACGACTACGGCACCAACCGGATCTTGCACCACACCATCGGCCTGCCGGATTTCTCCCAGGAGCTCCGCTGTTTTCAGACGGTCACTTGCTCTCAGGTCCGTCCCTACACTCTTCTTTGTTAATTCCACTGTCACATCTTAGATTCTCATAGTTATCAGACTTTCACAGGCGGTGGTGAATAACTTGGAAGACGCTCATGAGTTGATAGACACTGCGATCTCAACCGCTTTGAAGGAAAGCAAGCCAGTCTACATTAGCATCAGCTGCAATTTGCCAGGAATTCACTACCCTACTTTTGCAAGAGACCCTGTTCCATTTTTCCTTGCTCCAAAGTAAGTTACTTTTGCCACTACCTCATAGTTTAGTTTGTACTTGTAAACCCTGTCTTGTGATACTGATCAACAAAGGATAGGTAAACTGGCACATAGCTGATCAGCTCAAATCAAGAAAATCAATAGTTTGTTGATATTGTGGACTAAGTTAACAGACCCACCAACTTGGCTTGTTGAACATATAGTCATTAATGTGCAATCCAACTATCAGCTTAGCACATGCTTTAATTTGGTATGGGTTCGAATTTCAGCGCCACCCATAAGCAACTACGGGAACATATAGCTATTAATGTGCAATCCTTTTGTATTTTTGTACAGGGTGAGCAACCAACTGGGATTAGAAGCTGCAGTTGAAGCAACTGCAGAGTTCTTGAACAGGGCAGTGAAGCCTGTGATCATCGGCGGTCCAAAGCTAAGAGTGGCCAAGGCACAGAAGGCGTTTGTGGAGTTGGCCGACGCGTGTGGCTATCCAATTGCAATTATGCCGTCCGGGAAGGGACTGGTGCCGGAGCAGCATCCTAACTTCATCGGGACTTTCTGGGGAGCAGTCAGCTCAAGCTACTGCGGGGAGATAGTGGAATCAGCGGATGCTTATGTGTTTATTGGCCCTATCTTCAATGACTATAGCTCGGTTGGGTATTCTCTGCTGATCAAACAAGAGAAGTTGGTGGTAGTCCAGCCCAACCGTGTAACTGTGGGTAATGGCCCTTCATTCGGGTGGGTTTTCATGGCTGATTTCTTGAATGCTCTGGCTAAGAAGTTGAAGAAGAACAGCACGGCCATGGAGAATTATCGTCGCATATATGTTCCTCCTGGCATTCCTTTAAAGCGGGAGAAGGGCGAACCTCTTAGAGTTAACATACTCTTCAAGCACATTCAGGTGAGTTTTCATTTCTACAAACTTCTTCACAGAATCACATGTTGAGTATATAATCATTAATGTGCAATCTAACTATCAGCTAGGTCTTTTAGTTAAGATGAAACACATGCTTCAATTTGGTATCAGAACCATGCCAAAGGTCATGGATTTGAATA